GGCTATTTGAAATTTCGTATTACTGCGAGTGTCCGTTTTTGACCTTTCTGACGTATCTCGCGCCTGGCTGCCGGATAACTGTCATAGGTATATATTGTGCGCTGTCAACTTGTCAGCTATCCTAAAACCCAATGACTATAAGCATTTGATCATCGAATTAGTCAAAATAAGGCTATGTTCACGCAATCATCGGAATAAATTGAAGCTTTATATTCTAATTCACCATTTCAATCATCACTAATTTAAGCAGTCTCTCTGAGATACAGAAAGGAGCTATGCAGGGATATCTTTGCCGAACTCACCACGAAACATAAAATGCAAAGCGCAAATCTAAAGCTACCGGTAAACCACAAAGTCACCGCAAACAATCCGACCGAATTTTGGGGGCTGCAAGCAATCCAAATGACAAGCAATTTCCAATCACACAATAAGTTTGGTGCGCCCTGGTCATCATACAGGTTGTTTCCTCGAATATGTCGTTGCCGCATGCGGGGAACATGGTGCGTTCAAAACGCATTGATTATTCAGGTACCATTCAGAGATCCTTCAGCCCCCCCCCCCCCCCCCCCCCTCTTCGACAGTCGTAGACTTGCTTGCTCCTGGCGGTATTGAGGGCTAGGCAAAAGTTCACCGCGCTGTATTCCTAGAAATACCAAAGTTGACAACCAGTGTAGTATGGCGTCTGTCCAGCCATCCTGCCGGCCCGGTTAGTGGGCGGAGGGGAGGGTACGTGTGTGGGAGAGGGGAGGGGAGGGAGGGGTGAGCATCACTCTCGGCCGAACGTCTCTATTTGCTGCCGGACGATTTAGATGGTATCTCGCCCGTGTCATAGATGGCGAGAAAAGCCCCGTCCGATTCCGGTGGCGCGTCACAATCACACGGCGCCGTAATCACCGCAATCATCGCGCCGTGGTCGCCGCAGTCCAGTCACCGCGATTGTCGTTGACGCGAAATCGATCCGCAGTCATTATTACAATGTATGGAAATGTGGCTCGACGAGGGAAAACAGCGCCGATACCATCAGCAATCATGTGAACTGCCCCGGTGCAGCTGAGGCCTGTATTGTTTATGTAAAAACGTGGCAGGAAACCTTGTTAGGTTTGTACGTGAGATTCGTCCAAATACGGACACATGGAAGTCAACTGCAATGCTTGATATCACGAAGCTTGAAGCCGAGGAAATACGGCATCGGATAAAAGCTGCGAAATGGCCACTACAAACTCTTTTTCTTTAATCGGATAGCGACCAAAGCATTCATCTTTTGTCAGAACACACCGTTGCCTGTTTCGAAACGCAGCAAACGTCGAATTCTGTTCAGACGGCTTCGCATGTTTGTCACATTCCAGTTCACAGATGCAGCACCGTATACTTCACAGTTGCACTGTTTTAACGTGTCATCTATTCATTGAACTTGCCTGCAACTCCGAGCATTGCTATTATGGGAAAACATGGGACTGCAAGACTGTGTGTGTGTGTGCCTGATTCCTCATGGGTGTCATTGTTAGCTTATCTTGGAGACAAAGACGAAGCCTGGCCAGTGTGTGCCTGCTCGCGGACACATGCGGAGCCTGGCCGGTGTGTGCTTGTTCGTGGGCACATGCGTAGCCTGGCGGGTGTGTGCTTGCTCGCGAGGCAAATACCGCTACCAGTATCTCACTTTCTGTGTGCGCATTAACAAAAGAGTCACAGAGCCAAAGGGGACGGCACAGTTACGTTATCGCCGTCTAAGCAGGGAGCACACACTGGCGTTCAGGGCAGCGTAAGGTGAGGTCGACCCTGTGCGCGCGTGTTTGACCAGACTGTGGGAGTGGGAAGCCTGTCTCAACGGCGAGGTCGCCTTTCAGGATGGCATTCAGTGTTTCAAATGTTTAACCAGGTGATATTGGCTGCAGCCTTTCGGCCCTCTGTGCATAATTAGGTGCCCAATGTTTTTGTTTTTTTAAATAAGATTAACACGCTGTGGCTGGCTGGCCGGGTGGCTGGCCGAATGCGACGCGCACGGTGGGTTGTGTGGAGAAGAAGGCGGGCGATTTGACGCCCCTGATATTTGAACAACTTAGAAAGCTAGACCACATACACCAAATACGCAGCAAATGTAGGCCTGTTTGTGAGCTCAATGATGCCAAGTTTTCAAGTCTATCAATACTTTCAGGTTAAATAAAATCGAACGAGGTCAAACTCTAGATTGGTGTTTGAAGTGCTCTGATACCTCCTCATGCAGCCAACTGTAAACTAGATTCATCTTCTCAGCGAGACGTCAATGATGTTCACATAAGATCATTGACTTCTGCAGCGTTGCAGCGGGGTGCGCGCATTTATGCAACATCGTTCGTAGTTTTGAAATTTTTGTTCCATAATTGCTTGTTTGGGGCACTCGGATCTTGTAAGAAGAGTGGAAATGGCCCTGGAGCTCTTTGATGATCTGTTGCACCATAAAATGTTCTTGCAACATTCTGCAACTTTTACGATAATTTCACGAATTTCTCCTTAGACTCTAGTGCTTAAAGATGCTGGTGCTTGGGCACATTGAACGTGGTTTTACGGCGCTACGTTGCTTTTTTCGGTAGACAAAACACTCTTACAAGGTCTTGCATATTTTGGCAATAATTTTGATGGTCGAATTCTTGACTTTCATATTTTTCAAGGTCTATGAGGATGCTGTCTCGTTTCTTCATGCACCTTTCCGTTCAGTGCTACAAGAGTCCTCATATGTTCAGGTAACCTAGTCGTCTGAAAAACTGCACTCAGTAGTGAGCTGCAGCCCGTGCTCCTTCCAGAACTTTATGCAAATGTGAGGCTGGCCAATTCCTAATGAGACACACAGGTGCTTCACTGCTCAGGGTGGAGGCTGAAGTTGAGATTAGGAGAAAAATGATATTGAGAGGATCCGTGGAATGGTTCTTCCCATATTACACCAAATTTGACCCGACTTGGGTCACGAACACCCTGTGGGCATCTTGCCTATGCTCCCCCAGTCCGTCTTTGGTTTCAATATTAGCTGACCTTGAATGCAATTTTGATCCTTCCATCCCTCCCTTATGCTGAGCGACCGTCGCTTCCACTGGCGCTTATAACTTACTGGCATCCATTCGATTCCACACTCTCGTCCCACTGCCACCATACGCTGCATTCATTCGTCATGATTCTAATCAACTTCGGCCCCACAGATGTTCCCGTCTGTTCCGTGCAGTAACACATAGGGCCGGAGTGGAGTACCATCGCTTAACATACTGCTCAAGTTAGGAGTTTTAGAAATACTGAGCACACATTTTAGGACGACTTTGAGGCGCACCTTCCATAAGGTCTTATGGGCACCATCCCTGCATAATGAGAGCTTCTCTGACCGGCGTCGCCTCCCTTTTGAATAATATCAGCCTTTTGACGTCATCACTTTTGTTCTGACGGTTCAAGTCCCGCCTTCTTTATTCGCAAAGTTACCAACGTCGGCAAGCATCATAGCATCGAGGCCCTGCATGCAAAGTCGTCTTTGGCCTCGCGCGTCCGCTAGGTTGTCACATGTGTGTCCAGATTGTGTCTTTGATTTATCCCAATAACCTGACATCAAGAGAATGTTAATTTCCTTCCAGCTCAACCCCTTCAAAACTCAGGATGGCCACTACAACTTAATATTAAAGTTCAGTAATTCGTGACCCCGTTTAATCAACATGCTCCCCATTTAACCATCATTTCCGAACTTCGTGATCAATGCATTGCATTCGAAACCAAGTTGTAACATGGGTTAACGTCAAGATAATTATGCCGGTTCAAAAAAGCCGAACTACTAATTTCCAGTGTTATCGCCACTACTCACACGCCCACTGACGTGTGTGTGTGACGCCATGTTATGTCACTCCATGTCATGTTGAAATGGCACTATGCCGCAATTTCTATGCGAAAAATGCACAGGGAATTAAAGTAAGCAGCCAGTCCAACATAATGTTTAGAGAACAGAGAAAAATATGTATGGTCCCGTCTGGTTTTGAACGCGAGACCCTTAACAGGCGCTCGGTTGGGGGCTTAAATTGACCCCCCCCCCCCCCCCCCCCCCCCCCCCCCCCCCCCCCCCAGACGTTTCCACAATGGTTTCCGAACGGCGCGGCGTAGCCACGCCAGGTTTTGCAGAGCTGTAGACAATTGAATAGCGGATCGTTTGGTTTCCAACAATTTAGATGTACCTTGTAAGATCGCTGACCTATGGCAGGTCAAATTCAGGCCATGGTTTTAGCTAAGGGAATTTCTAGGGAATCGTTCCATCTGATACCACAACGGAGTGTTTGGCGGAGTCATACATCTCTAAGATGCCTCCTTGGGAACCACAAATCTTGAGTGAGCAAATTACGTTGACCTAGGGTCAACCGGATGCCGGATGCCGATGCAACTGTCTGAGCAGTTTGCAACCGAGTAAAATATCGCTGCATCTGAGCATTGTGGGTAATGAACTGGGTCGGGTTGCTTGGTACGTCACGTGGTACCACCGCCTTGCTTCGCCGAGTGGTTGCAACCGTGGTAGCGCGGCGTGACCCCTGACCGGGCCGCTTAGCTCCGGGCAGTCAGGCCACGGCTGGCCAGCTGTTTATCGAAGGTCTGCACAGCACCGGACAGCCGTCAGCAAGGCGCAAGTCAACGCCCGACTCCTTCCGTTTCTCGCGCAGCACCCGTCTCTCTCGTTTGATGAATTACACCGATAACTTCAAACGGGACGGCAGTCCGCCGTCCTGCATCTCTGCAATGCCTCAATGACGTTGGGTCGAGCTGCAGACATCAGCCAGGAGCGGGCTTTAGTGCCCCGGGCGACAGTCCCGCCCCGGCGTCCACATAAAGCCCCCTGTGCAGGGCAACTCTTGGTGATGCGAGGCTCTCAGTTGTTGATTACATTTTCGCAGCGCTTTGACAAATATAATTACTGTTGCCCTCAAACCATGTCAGAGGAGGGGAGGCGACTTCGAAAGGTTGAATGAGACTGCGCCCCCCAATTCCGGGGAAAGGCACACCTTAAATAAGACAGCGAAAAAAAATATATTGGATGCACATCAGTCTTTCACGACACTTCCACAGATAGAGGTGCAAACTTCTCCAGTAGAACTTCTCGGGCGTAGTGCTTCACTGATTCGTCCGTTTCACTTGCATCGAGGAACCGCTGAAACGCGACTTTGGCTTCCCACCTGACATCTTTCGGCCAAAACAGCAGCTCAATTATGCTCCGCTGCCACGAGATGGCGTCATCAGCAGACGGCACGGCCGACGCCACGCTGATCAGGTTGGCCATTTCGCTCTCCAGCGCTCTAAGGAACCTGGTCCGGCCCATGGCAGCCATCTTGCGCAGAAGCACCAGCAGCTCGAGGCTGTCAGCTCCGAACTTCACTGACGGTAGCAGCTGCGTAGCCCAGTTCTCGACGTCTTCTGACCTGAAGACACGATCTACGGTGAAATACGCGTCAAAGACCGTGCACAGCATAATACCTGGAAAACGTGTCAAACCCGGTGCGTACTTACCATACGTGAAGAGTAATACCACTCCACATGTTCCAACACTTCGACGGTAATCTACGAGGCTGTTGAAAGATAGTAGCCACTTTTTACGAGAACAGGAAAATTTCTAGTTGATGCCGGTGGCAGCAATGCGTTAGGGAGTGCCTCCACACATAACTGGATTGTCCACAACACGCACGAGTTAATTACGAAACCCTTTAAAAGCAGCCGCACACCCAAACGAGTGGAACCTGCCTAGCGCTTGGCTGGACTAATCATCACACACTTCACTAACTTTTTTAAATAACGGACTTTCTACCGTCGTTTCTTCCCAGTCGCTAGTTTGGTCCCAGCCTGACAACCAATGATTCACCAGAGCGCAGTTCTGCCTCGCCTCAAAGCGCACCGCTGCGCCGCACCACGGTCCCAGTATGACCCTGGCATCTCCACACCGCCTGGTTTCCCCCCCCCCCCCCCCACACAACGCCCGGGCCTCCTCACACTGCCCTGTTCTCCCCCCCCCCCCTCCCTCCCCCCCCCACAACGCCCGGCCCTCCCTCCACGTATCGCCCTGTTCTCCCCCCCCCCCCCCACAAACGCCCGGTCCTCCCTCCACGTATCGCCCGGGTTCTCCTGTCCCCAAATGCCCGGTCCTCCCCCACCTCCCACACTGCCCGGTCCTCCCCTCCCCCTCTGCTGACAGCCCAGCGCGGCGATCAACATCCACCCACCTTGCAAGATCGTCAAACTCGGGCTCGGTGATGATTGCGGCGAGCAGGCGAGTTAGCTCTGTCCCCTGCTCGGCCGTTTGGACTCGCCCATGCCGCTCGGCCGCCGCACGCACGCAGCCAAGGCGCCGTTCCAGGTCAGCGGCCGGCCGGCCGGCGGCCAGCAGCGCCGGCAGCACCCGACACACTCGATCCAGCTCTCCCAAGCGGTCCGACTCCAGGTACGCTGGGCGGGACCGGCCAGAAAATCAGGGCAGGCCACTACACTCTGTGCCAGGCAGTCGGCGGGTCACGCGGCGAGGAGCAGGGGACTGCACGTGACGGGCACGGCGCGCAGGGGACGGCAACGTCCACTCCTTTCACGTAGCATGGCACAGCATTAGAGAACAGGCGCTGAATGAAGTTCCAAAGCATAATGATGCTGTGGCGACCCTTTATGGCTAACGGGCATTTCACTCGGAAGATTAACTTTCAAAAGCGCCCAAACGTTCACCTTCCACTTCCACATTTTTTGAACTTACACTTAAACTTCTAAACGTTTGGGATATCTGCTTGCATGCGATTCCACCAGTCGTCTGACCGCTAACCAAACTTAAAGGGGATGTCTCACATTTGAACATACTAAAGCAGGCGTGAGATATGATACGCATGATACAGGCATGATATGGTACCAGCTCGCTCGTAACTACTAACATGATTTCAAGTAGAAAAACTGCTCTAGATAACAAAATTTTTCTGTTAAGTGCCGTGTCTCGTGCCTATGTCTCGAGCGTCGTCAAAGAGTGCAAAGGCATCCTCGTTTCTCTGTACAAATTCCGTCAATACTTCACATCTTCTCAAAATCATCATCTAGGCGCACGTGTTCCCTCATATAACGTACTGTCTGTGCGTGTGGGGTGGGCCAGACAAGTGTCAACTACACAATTTTTTATAAAAACCACCAACTTTGCTGCAAGAGTAATTACCGGCTCTAAAAACACATCATCATATACCGCTGGCTCTGACTTCCCTTGGATGGCAGAAGATCGGGGTCGTGGTGAGGCACCGCGACGTGCTTTAACGCGCGCTCGGGTGGGGGTGGGGGGGGGGGGGGTTTAAATTGCCTTCCCCTCCAGAAAAATGTTTTCCAGAATGGTTTCCGAACGGCGCAGCGTAGCCGCGCCAAATTTTGCATAGCTGAGACCAATGAATAGCGGATCGTTCGACATAAAAAATTAGATGTACCTTGCCAAGTCGCTGACCTATGGCAGGTCAAAGTCAGGCCATGGTTTCAGCTAAGGTAATTTCTAGGGAATCGTTCAATCTGATACAACAACGGAGTGTTTGACAAAGCCATACATCCCTGAGATGCTTTATTAGGCACCACACATATTGAATGAGCAAATTACGTTGACCTAAGGTCAGGTATAAAGGTCAGAACAAGGTCAAAACCAACCGATTTATTATTCTAGGGCTCAATGTATGGGATAGTTTCTGGTGTATATTTCGAATTTACTGACAGCAGCAACCGCATTCTACATGTTCCACGGACTGCTTAGAGATCAGAATAGGTCATTACCTAAAATAACCCGGGTAAACATTTTGTTGTTAGAAACATGCTGCTTAGCGCAACCTTTGTCGCTTATTCAAGCGCAAAACTCAGGCCAGTTTTGTATGATTTTGGTGATCATGACCTTGAAAACGTCAAACAAGGCCACTGGCCTTAGATGAGCATGAGAGCTTCTCCTTAGAAACAGTTATCTAGGTTCTGAGGACACTCTGGAGACAAACCTTGAATTTGACCGTATTTGACCTTATTTGGCCGAAGGCCATAACCTAAGAACCTCAAACTTCGACCTCAGTGAGTTGACGTAGAGGTCAACACACCCTGTAAATTTGGTGTCCCTAGCTTTCTTAGTTCCCGAGATCTCAGGGTGGTCAAATTGCCCCCCCCCCCCCCCCCCCCCCCACCCGAGCGAAGGGTATCTAGCCGGCCACCCGGGCGCGAGTTAACTGTTTGAGGCGCTAAAGGAGGTAGGCGCGCATCACCGAAGTCCGCGCGCTTTTGCCCCACGCGCCGCTGTTTCAAGTCGTCAAACGCGCGCCTCGGACGGAGGTAGTCCACACCTGCACAGACACCAACTGGCCGCCACACAGAAGGCGTTTTCGTATCGAGCCACAGCAGCCTCGAGCCGCCCGCCATCGTGTGTCCGCCGTGCCACAACACTGAGCGAACCACGTGCCATCGTGTGTCCGCCGTGCCACAACACTGAACCGCCTGCCATCGTGTGTCCACCATGCCACAACACTGAGCGCGCTTAAGACAGCCATACAATATGTGATTTTAACCACTGACAACTGATTTGATGCGACCCGTAGTACGTTGATATGTCTGCCTTAGCTCTCTGACCCTTGCCCGTATCATTTTTTGAGCTTTTGTTTGTGCCTTTTCATACTGCACCTGTATGACCTGAAATTGTAAAAGCTACCATGTGGATGGTATCATACCGACACTGATACTGATAGCAGTAAATATGCTCCCCGATACGTCATTGTTTGATTCGTCACCGTACCTTGCACAAAATTGATTTAGAGCCAATAGACGGTCGTTATATCTGGAAATCGTGCTCACGAATGCCATATATAAGCGACTCAACCATTATGTTTCTTTTCAGCCTTGATCGCTGCTTGGCTTACGGAATGACAGGACTTGAATGCGTTATTATGAGGTCCTGAATATCGAGGTGACCTTGCAATACTCTCCCCGTTTTCGCGAGCGCGTAGCTTAGAAATAAAAGGGATCTAGGTCTTAAAATGGCAGAGCTGTGAATCGCACCAAAACGTCTTAAAAGTGGCTATTTCACTTCAAAACCCAACATACATGTGGAACACTCCCCTTAACGGATGAGTGTAAAACATCCACCTGGCGACAACAATCCTCGTATCAGCTGGAACACGAGCCCCTCAAAACATCACACCACTGCAGCCCAGCCTCTCAACGTCCCCTTGAATCGACCCTGTGCGCGCGGGTGCGCAACAGACAGCGCGCGGCCACCACCAGCACCGCTGCGCCAGATCTGCTCTAGCAGTCGGCCCACCCGTAACGTAGTCGAGGACGCGGGTCCGCAGCAGCGTCTCCTGTCGGCCGCCGCCCTCCAGGCCGGCCGACAGCTCACAGCTCAGCACGTTGATGACGTCGCTGCCGAGCTCGGCCGCCGCCGCCGCCGTGCCGCTCTCGGCGCCCTTGCGACGCCGGCCAACCAGCCGTGAGTACGGAAACGAGGCGAACACGTGCCGCGAGAGCTCGGTCCACTGGCTTTCCGTGAACCAGGCCACCTGGCGGCACAGTGCGTCAGGTCAGAGGACTCAGGGACAGATCGACCCGCCAGCTCCCCTTGAACCAGGCCACCTGGCGGGACGGGTTGTCAGGTCAGGGCGACACACGGAGACATGTACGCAGTCATGCCAACAACTCGCAAAATGAGCCGTACATCCCAGGATAGCGCGTGACCCGGGGTCACCAAGGTCACGGTGCGCTCCGATCCGGGATTTTTACCAGCGCGGTGTTCTTGGTGATGTCCAGGTGTCGCAGCCGCTTCAGTAACTCCACCAGAACCTGCAGTACCACGGCCAGCGTCTCAGCCGCCTCGTCCGACAGCAGACTACCTGCGGCCGACGGCGTCACCGTTAGTGGCAGCACGAGCTGCCGGGGGTCGGCTGTTCCAGGGCCCAGCGGCCAAGGGCAGGTTATCTGTGGCACAGTAACTATATAGGAGCACGGCGGCCCGGCCGGGAGGAGGCTGGCAGCCCCGGGACCCGGAGCGCCGACAACGTCCCCCGTCCCCTACCCACCAGTCAAGCATGCGGCACCGGGGGTGACGGGCGCTGTCTTACTGGACCGCTGATGGTGCCCGCCTCGGTCTCCAGGTCCATCGGGCTCATGCAGCGCGTTGAGCTTCGTTGTGCGAGCCAGAAACTGGACTGCTCGTAGGCATAGCGCCACGAACACCAACGCCAATGAGGCCTATCCCTAGTCACTGCCATTCCATTACGATTTCATCCTAGCCGGCCCAATGTGCTGGTCATTCCTACACGCTTTGTCCCACTGGTCACGCTCTAGCCCGGCGTCGGCAGCTCCGGTCCAGCTCCCGCGCTCACCATCCCTCCGGTCACTGACCGTTGCCGTCCAGGTCGGGCGCCACCTCGGCGTACGTCTGGAAGAGCAGCGGCGCCACGGAGGCGGCGTACTGACGCAGCTCGGCCGGCTCGTGCAGCAGGCGACGCTCCTGGCCGGCCGGCGCCGCCAACACCAAGCCCTCGTCCCCGTCCAGCACGCGGCCGTACACGCCGCAGTGCGCGGCGGCGACCAGCGGGCGGGCGGCGGACGGCGGCACGCCGGTGGCGCTCGGCTGCGCGGCCAGCACCTGGGCCAGCTGGCGCAGCACAGTGACGCGCCAGGCGGCGGCCGACAGCCGGCTGCCGGGGTCAGCGAGTAGCGCCCGGCCGCCGCCGGCGCCGCTCCGCGAGATCTGCTCCAGCAGTGTGGGCAGCACCTGGTCGGCGGCGGCCGCCAGCAGGCCGGGGAAGCGGGCGAGCAGCGCCGCCAGGAACGGCAGCGAGCTCTGCTGCACGGCCGGCTGGATGTGTGTCATGGCACAAGTCAGGTGCGTCACCAGCGCCGGGAAGAACGGCGCCAGCTGCGCCTCCGTGACCTGCGGCGGGGAGGGGCCGTCACGGCTGGCGGTCGGAACCGGCGGAGGGGGGGGGGGGGCACGAACTGGAAGAGCTAGAATCGGGTACTCGGACACCACAGACCGAGATCCCCAGAACCAAGTCAACCCACCATTATCCCAAATCTCACCAGGAGGAAGGCACAACGGGTTCACAGGCGCCCTCCGCGTCCCGGGTTCGACTGGCACCGAATCACGCGGCCGGGTAATGCGACACGATCCCCGCTTCAGCCCTACGCCACTGGCCCGATACAAATCCAGCCCGGCGCCGGCAGCCAAGCAGCACGCACCTGTCCGATCACGTCGGAGACCAGCAAGACGGTTTCGGCGCGCAGCTTATGGTCCTCGTCGACAAGCAGCGCTGCCAGGGCAGGCAGCAGCTGGCCCAGCGCCGGCCACACCAGCTCGCCGTGGCGGGTCAGTAGCTCGCGCAGGCCTGCCAGCCCGTCCTGGCGCACATGCGCGCTGTAGTGGCGCAGGTGGGACAACAGCTCCTGCAACGGCAAAGCGACGATGACATACGCGCTGTAGTGGCGCAGGTGCGACAGCAGCTCCTGCTACGGCACAGTGACGTGCGCGTTCTGGTGGCGCAGGTGCGACAACAGCTCCTGTTACGGCACAACGACGGTGACGGCGAAGCAGCTGACAGTGTCAAGGCCTGTCAACAACAGCTCGGCGCACGGTCATCGACGGTGAAGACGGCTGAAAGGATACTGCCAGCTTCCACATGCCAAACAGGATCTCGAGCTCAAACGATCTTATAATGCCATTCGTAAAGACTATACAGCACCGCACGACACGTACATTGCTCTAAGCACTGCTGCATTGGTTATGGACGCAATCTTGTAAACATATAGCCAAACCTTACCTTTAAGCTCAGTTTCTTTTTGGTGACAGGACCATCTCCTGATTGTTTCTTGGCCTGGTCGTGGATGACGATCTTCTTGGACTTGAAACTAGTGTCCGTCAAATTCTGGCCTTTTGGGAGCTTTTTCCCAACTTTAAGCTTCACCTTTGTAAAGTCTGCCTTCTTTTCTTTTTTAGCCTTCGAACTTTTACCCATATTTGTGCTGACCTGAAACGCGTGTTCACATCACATATACCACACATTACACTATTTATATTACACGTACTACACCATACTACACTATTGCAACATTCACCTGTACCTGACAGGAAAAGAAAAGCATTATAGAACATCACAATTTCCGCTTCTTTTGCCCTTACAATGCGCTTTGCACCACAAAACGCGTGGTTCTGTTATTCTGATATGTGTGCTGCTCTCCAAAAAGCTACAGCTAATGAAGCACATATAATGTGAAGCCAAACAAAAGGGCGGAACAGCGATCGAGCCTGACCGGACACTACGACAGGGCAGTTACACATACATAAATGTAATAAACCTGAGGTGTCTACAGCCGGAAAGAGGAATGTGTCAGAAAAGCCAGACATTTTTCTGTTATTGGTATTTACTTCAGAAGCGTGCCCATGCCAGGTGATATACGGTGTTCACAATGGCTATCACTCAGTCGTTTGACATACACAAAATGGAGAGCTCCAGTTAAGCTGCACATCGCTCGAGGTGGTGCGCGCCTCGGTCGGCAGCGTTCGTGGCCATTAACAATCGATCCGCGCCGTGAATTGATTACACTACAAGACGCGTGCGCAGCATGGCTCGCAAACCCCTCACACTGACACATCCCAGTCACAATACATAAGTCCAGTGCCTTTCTGTCATGTCAGTCCTGAGCACCCACTGGCCCCCTCTGCGTGCACACTCATATGATCACAGGGTGTCTGATGTTGCCACCAGCTGTCACACAGCTCACAGGACAGCCCTGTGACCGGTGTCATGCAGCTTGAGCCATACAGCTGCACAGAGCCATACAGCGCACTGAACTTAAACCCTCACTACGTGCTCTTGTTCAGTACGAGCTTTTGACCGCGGGCTCCAGTGAAAAGTGGCACTGGCATTCAGCACAAATTGTTCTGTGAGTGCTTCCATAGTGCTCTGCAGCATGGCAGGGTCCAACAAGGGTGATGCTGTCAAGGGGGTGCAAATGCTTGGGGAGCTCCCAAACAATCCAGGGCACTGTAGAGAATAGGGTGCCCAGTGGCATCTCTTACATGTTTCTGACTGTCAAAATGCCAAGAATGTAACACATTATCAAAGTAAGGTGAACAATGATACCATGCCTTTCCAGTTGCACACATTTATCGCACCACATTTCCAACCAATTGCTGATTGTCTTGAAACTTTCCAAAACAAACTAACACCATGGGTTATTGTGCTGTTGCCTTGAAGCTGATAACAAATACTGTGGTGTTAATTCTGTGTAGAGAAGCATGTTACCACACTTTTTGAAAGTAAGCTTTTGTGCAAAAAAAAATATTCCCCTGATCATCCAAAAGAACTGAATGATCAGAATGATCTAAAAGCTTAAAACATCAGATAGTATCAGAGACTATGGCCAAATGGTGCATTCCATGCAATTGCAGATAAGGTTGCAGGTCAAGACAGTTTAAGTGTGATCAAAACATGGATATCATGGCTCTAGCAGTGCAGACAGGCACCAGCTGAGATGACTGACTGGGCCTGGTCAGGTCAGTCAAGCTTTAGGAGAGCTTCTCTCTGCACCCAATCATGACACTGACAGGCAGTTTTTACCAAAAAGTAGCACCATCCTTTAAAAACTGTTCTATTATATGCTCAATGCACTTTTATACAAAATGCTTAATGATATTGAGTGCTCCTGTAACACTGCATCACCAAAACTTTATTTTTCCAACCCAAGTAACCCCCCATGGGTAAAATCTTTCATTACTAGAAAGCTTAAAAACATTGTTCCAAACCAGACCCTGATCTCAATGACCAAGCATCCCAGAAACACTACACCAACACATCTGAATGGTTAATGGCTAGAATAGTAAGGAGAGAACTTCCAACTGAGTCATAAAATTGCAAATGGAGATGTCCTATGATGCATGCTTAAAGCCATAGATTCATCCAGGCTTCCAGAGAAAACAAAGATATAAAACAAGCTGCACAGAGTAGATAAATGCATCATCCACATACAACAATGGGGTGGTATCGGAAGGCGGGCGCTCTAACCAACTGAGCCACCGGGACGAATGATCACCGGGACTATCGGTTCATTAATATTCCACTTGGTGTTGATGTGTGCAGATGTGTTAGTGACCAGGCATGGAGATAAAAGCAGGCTTCTAGCTTCAAGATTAAGTCTGGAGCCAGGGCAATGACATGAAACTGAAGTTTGGCATGTGATACATATGCAGCAAAATATGTAATCCATCCAAAATTGAATAATGTTATGTGTCTAAATTCCTAGCTCGTGGCATCTAGCAAGGCCATTTCATTTTCCAGCAACATGTGTTTAAGCTTGACATGCAGACACAGTACATTAATGAATTCATGAAAATCTGATTCAGGGGAGGATATGTTCCAGTGCATTGTTATGACCCATTCAAATGACTTTCTAAAGGCAACTGGTCACCACTGATCTTCACAAAAAGTGATGTCAACATGCAACAAATGATATTATAAACCATGCCAATAACACCATGTAACAATGATGGTATTGACAATAATGCAGTATCTGAAATTTGGTTTTGGCTCTTGGGGGAGAGAACAAAAAAGATTAGAATCACAGCTTGCAGTGAGAACAAAATGACCCCCATGAATCAGCACACCATTCAAAGCTGGCACTAAAGAACAATCTAGTCAGGGTATACATTGCTACCTCCTGTTAAGAAAGAGCATTGTACATCAATCGTCGTTTTTAAGGCAGAACATATAGTGTGGGTTTGCATTGATACCTAACGTTAGAAAAAAATCACTGTACATCATTCGTCGTGTTTAAGGCGGAAGATATTGTAAATAATCTTAAAACACGTAGATTCATGCTCCTACCTCCGGATTTTAATAACTATCGTAGCGAGCTCCCGAGCGCCGCACGCACCGCACCGCCTCGACTCCCCAGCGCCGTTTCTGCGTTATCGTTGCGCAATACAATATTTCTGCTTATCAAGAACTAAAAAAATGTACGGGACCAAGTTAACAATAATCATGCAATGAAAACACATTTTGCTTTTCATTCCCACTCAAAAACGTCCTATTTCCCCATCATGTCGACCAATGTACAGACAATATGTAAGACTGCTTGGATACGCAAGAAACGCACTTCATTGAACTCTTGCTACCTTGGCCTCGTACATTTGCATGGTTCTTGATGCGCAGTAATGTTGCGATCACGCATAAGGGTGGCGCCGGGGTCGCGGTTGCTGCCTGTTTGCGCTCGGATGTTCGCTATCGTAGTTATTTAAGTTCCAAGGTGAGAGTTTAGATGACCTGTTTTGCGATTAATTACGATATGTTCAGTGTAGGTATGCACTGGTACCTAATCTTCAAAAGAGCATTGTACATTATTCATCGCATTCAAGGCGAAAAATATCTTAAATAATCATAAAACAGGTGGATTCATGCTCCTACCTTCAAATTTGAGTAATTACGATACCGAGCTCCTGCGCGCCTTGCCAGTTCCATTGCTGCGTTATCGTCGAGTGGTCACAACATTACTGTTCATCAAGAACCATAAATAATGTACCTCGGCCAAGGCAACAGTAATAAGGCAATGAAACACGTTCCTTATCGCATGTAGGTAAGTTTATGAAACAGACAGGCCAGAATAGACCAGAATATAGCCTAAACTAGCCTAGCCTAAGCTAACCTAACCTAACCTAACCTAACCCGACCTAACCTAACAACCTACCCTAGCCTAACTTAACCCAACCTAACCTAACCGAACCTAACCGAATCTAATCTAACTTAGCCTGACTCAACCTAACCTAACCTAACCAAACCTAGCCTAACTCAACCTAACCTAACCTCCCCACCCAGATGCGTGTTAAAAGGTCCAGGGTTCATAAAGTCCAGTGGTGAAAAGGTCTAGAATTGCAGCATCCAGCGTTCATAGCGTCCAGAAATCGTCCAAAGCCCCTGGATAGAGGAGAATGATGAAGTGCAGTGTTCATAAAGTCCAGCGTTCATAAAGTCCAGTGCTCATAAAGTCCAGCCTGCGTGAGATCCACGGGTTGGGGTGCTGTTCCACTTCCTCGCAAGCCGTCGCCCAATCGTTCGGATATTGTCCGATAGAGGGCTTCCGGAGCCGATTTCGCCCGCCTCAGCCGGCGAGAGACGTTATGCGGTACAGTGCTTCCCTGTTAAACCACTGTGCATGGATATGGACAACGTTTTGTTTGAGCGCACCAACTTGGCCGCGTCAGCACGCCCTTGGCAGCAGGCGCATTAAAGAATTCAAAACTCTGATCCCTGACTCGGAAATAAGTGGTTACTGGGCAGTAGCTGCACGGTAATCGTGGAAAGCCCTTGCCGGGGTGCCTGCTGTTTGGTATTGGGGCTATGGATAAAATTATCCGCGATATTTGGTTCCGTTATTTACTGCATGTGTTGGTGATGTTTCTCATTTTGTGAAGGAATTGATGACTGATGTGTAAGGCAGACTGATTTGATATCTGCTCCAGGTAGGCGCGCATATAGATCTCCAGTTCCTGGCACGCTAACATATATTGTTAGTGATTTTATTTTGACCGGTTTCCCTCCCTCCCCCAATTGAAAATTCTTTCACACGCTCCTGCAAACGTGATTTATTCGGAATTCTACGTGCCTTTTCTCTCAAAAGGAGAGGGTGGGGGCTGTGTCATCAGCTGAATCCGGATACTACTCCCTGGTAAGACACATTCAGTGGCCCAGCTTACAAACAATTCGTCTCTTCAACCAGGTACGTTTTAAACGGGCGTGGTTTACCAAGATAAGTCGGTTGGCTGAGCGATGAAAATACAACGCAGAGTACCGTGATGATACGCCAACAAATCGGTTCCTCTCCGAATTTGGCTCACTTTTTCACAAATGTGCAGGCTGCAGCCCAAGTTACGGCGGGGCATGAAACCCACGCAACTGAATAGGGAACCGCACTCCTGGTTGAAAGTAAAAAGTAAGTAAAAAAGCAAACATTAACTGCGAAT